ACCAAAGCTCATCTTGAGGGTGTTTTCTAGATTTTAAGTTCCCAAGAACCTCTTGTTCCTAATTATTAGAAATTTCAGAGACATGACTATACAGATTCCTGGAAGAAAAATGAAGTATTTCGATTTAAGGGGAAAAGGAATTTGAAGTAAAATGAAAAGAGAAAAAAAACCTCTGAACGTTCAAATCAGTTCAGCATCCCTTGATTTTGCTTTCTTCCTCTTTCCCTCTCTCCTTCTTTCCTTCCTATTTTTATTTCTCTCTCTTTTTTTAAATTTAGATATCCTACCTTACCATAAAACTTCTCAATTGTTTAATTGGATATTTGTCAGAACAAAATCATGAGAAATATGTAAAAAGTGATGAAAGAAAGAAGCTTACTCCAAATCTCTGGAGTTGTAAGAATCCCATTATATCCCTTCATGATTATTCTACAAACATAAAGATCACAAAGAAGAAATTAAAATTAATTTAAAAATTAAAATTAAAAATAAAAATAAAATTAAAAATTTTTAAATAAAATTAAAATTATTAAAAATAAAGATCACAAAGAAGAAATTTAATCCCACAATCCACACTAATATTCTGTCTGTATCTCCCAGGTGGTTTTGTACACAAAAACAAATTTAAGGCACATGGTTTCATGAGATCCTCATTTTTCATTAACATTGGAATGAAAGGTGCTCTTAGTCAGTGCCCAGCTCAGGGAAGTCTCCTGCCAGTTCCTTCTATCTCAGGCTAAATCATTCTGCCCTCCACTGGGTGCACAAGGCATCCAGCACCCTCTACTTTGGCTCACTAGTACCCTACATTGTTGGGAGAGAGGCTGCTCTGGGTCCTTCAGGGGGCTGTGCTCCTTTTGGATCTGACGATTCTCGATCCCACGCTTGCTTTCTTTGCTAGTCTAATTCCACTGTGGAATTAGAACTTCCATATTGCTAAGTGTTTAGAATGTTACACTAGCGCTTCTTCCTATAAGCAATGAAAAGTCAAGTCATTCTTAATAGAACCCTATGCTTTCGCAGCATGTTGGAAGTAGCGTGGGAGAAAGACTAGAGTGAGAAGATACTTTCTAAGAATAGGCTAGAAATGCTTAAGGCCAGAACAAAGCAGTAGTAAATAGGACAGAGGAAAGGCAAGTCAGAGTTCTACGTGGACTCACTCAGGGTTCCCATGCTGCCCCCCTCTTTCTGTTACAGAGGGAAATGGTCTATCTCTACTACCATTAGGAGTAATCTTGGGTCCTCACCTGAACAGCTCCTTTGATCTCATCCCAGCCCCAAAAGTATCCCATAGACAGATATTTACAAACTCTCCCACCTGTCACTGTATTATCATTAATTACTAAATAAGATGATGGTTGCTGAAAACCAGACTTCACAAATTTAACAGAAAGTGAGAGGAGCACCTGAAACTTTTTAGGTTATGTGATATTGATGTTAACACTCCGAATGTTATAATATTACAGTCATCGTTTCAAAATCTAAAGATCACAAAGATTTTTCATTAAAAATCCAATCAAAATCCTGTTTGATGTATGAGCCAAGAAAACTTGCCAAGTTAGGTTATATTGAGAAACCTAATGTGTTTCTCGTCATTTAGGAGCAAGGTCAGGAATCATCAAAGAGGAGGGAACAACTCACAACTTGTTTTCTTTGTATCTGTACCTCTTTGTATTAAACCACACATTCATACTGGAAACTTAGCATTAGTTTTCATTTATTGACAAAAGTCTCTTTTGGGCATACATGGAAATCACGTAAGTTTCACACCATGGTAAGTATTAGCCAGTCAAATTCTCCTGATCTTTGTTTCCAAGGAAGGAAAAGAAAGTAACAGAATGGAAGATAGGACATTTTACCAGATTTAAACTCTACATAGTTATTTATGCAATTCTCAAAATAAATTTTACCATATAGGGTATAAACCCTTTTTTCTCTCCATGAATTGTATTTATTCATGGAAATTAAAGGTGTTATTAACTTAAATCCTGGCAGAGCCTCATCTGTTTCAACACTCACCAACCCACATGGTAATTACTACTGCTATATACAGAAGGACTAAGAATTGACACAAGATTTCTGCCCTCTAACCCTGCTTTAAAGAATCCTGCTCATCCCAGGATTTGAGATGTGGGATTTGTTTCCTCCCATCTTAACCCTAAGAGAGATCAATCCTAACAGAATTGAATTGCTAATGACTGAAAGAAGTTTCATGATCATCATTGGGCCCATGGGTAAAAGAGGGAAAGGCAGACCCTGGAGAATCACCTTGAGTTATTATAGTCGTGCAAGATTGAGGTTTTGGCTGAGAGCCAGATTAGAAGAGGACTGGTCGGGAGATCTAGGAGAGCAGAAAAAGGAAAGATAAGGGAGCAAAATTAAGTGTGAAGGGTCTTGCTTTGAACCTGATTCATAGGTTTTGACCTCTGTTCTTACTTTGTATGCTTTTCTTCCAAATTTTCATGGTACCAATATGTGAGGCAGTTGGTGTGGCTAATTGTAAAGAAGCAGCTGAGAGAAGAAAGGAAGGAGCAAAGGAAGAGGAGGGAAAGAAGAATGAGGGAGGAAGGGAAAAAATAAGCTTAAGTGTCCCTTAGACTGCTTGCAAATACACATTTTTTTCCTCCTCTAAGCAATGGAAAGGTAGAGTCAGCTAGTTCACATTAAATCATTAGAAAACTGAATTTAGAGGAAGCCATATTAATAAAGATTTATTGAATGTATAAAATTTCAAAGATCACATCTTGTATCTTAAAAGCCAAATCTCAAAGTGATCCTTCACCTCTCCCAGAACATGATGTGAAATGATGAGCGTGCAGCAAGAGCTAATTGTGTTACCTGTGTTTCCTTGGCTTCCACCTCATTTTGTGCTTATGCCTCTCCTTTGCTTGTGCAAAGGCTCTGTGGAGAGAGTATGCTTGCCCAAGTGCATGGACAAAATGGATTTTCAGGAAAACGAATAGCCACTGTTCTTATTTGCTTGATGTTCTTGCAAGATAATTTGCAGACTGTTTTAAAATGTCAGATTGCTACCATCCTCATGTCTCCACTGTTACTTCTCTAGCTGCTGATTGATTGCTTGACCTGAAGTCCCTTTTTGTTCCTATAGCATTAATGGAAAAGTCTCCCAACTTGAAATGGTAGCCACTGAGAAAAATTGAAGCAAGAACCATACTGGGGGTTACAGTGTTTGGCCAGGGACATGGCTCACTTCTGAGGTTTCTTCATTAGCATACTCAATAGAGGTGGAGCTTCATGGGTTTTGTAGACTGAAGGATGCGAAACTTAAGGACTGAAAGAACCAGGTTCCAGAGAGGCTCACTGACGCCTCCAAGGTGAATGTTGGAACTGCAGAGGTTGGTGATGGGAGTGTGGGAGGCTGAGAGCTGGGATGGCTGTCACAGAGATGTTTGGAAAGATGAGTGGAACAAAACCATAGTTCTGAGTCAGAAAAGCAAGGAGCAATTCATGCCTTGAAACTATTAGGAGAATATAGGGAAGATATATCCTGAATACTTTACATAGGGAAAGGACATTATACAACATTTATATCATGTGAATTCACTACCACTTTACAAAAATTACAACAGCATCTGCAATAAAATATGATTTATATGTCAGGTGACACATAAGTACAAATCAGTGGCTTTATATGGTGCCGACTTGAAGTAAGACTGTCATTTTCAACTCATTATCTATTCCAGTACCAAATTGATAATCAGCTGTGTGGAAAATTGTGACATCTAGTACAATATATGCAAAACAAATCAAAATATAAAGGCTATTTTGTCTTATACCTTGACTTTGAAATCAACTCCCAACTAATATGGAATTTTTTTTTTTTTTCCCCATCAGAAGAAAAATAAAGCAAAATTTTGTGACTACATTAATACTTTACTTTTTAAGCAATGCTTTCCCCACAATCTCAACTATTTCTGCCAGTGATGGTTTGTAGAAGGAAATCTAGTGCAACAATTTTGTGTATTTTGAAATATGTAAAGCTATACAACTTCAAAATAGCAACCTTGAACTTGAACTTGGGTCTACTAGTGATATTTTTCAGTGATTCTTTTGTAAATATATATACATATATAATAGAGCTTGATAATTGCTTTTGAAGATATGTTCTTGAAATGAAATATACACACTGAAAAATACAAGTAGCATAAGTGTAAAATTGATAAAATTTCAGAAACTGAACACTCCTATGAATACAAACATTAAGATGATAAAACAAAACTTGATGGGTACCCCAACACTTTCAACCATACATCTCCCAAAAGATAGTCACCATCCTGCCTTTCAACACCAGAGATTAGTTTTGCTTGTGCAAATGCATTTATATTACAATCTCCTCATTTATATCTGGCCCCTTTTACTCAACATTATGCTAGCAATATCCATTTGGTTGCAAATTACTGCTCATCACTCATCCACATTGCTATATAATGTAGCATTTTGAAAATATAAACACTGCCAAACAGGATATATATTAATTTACAAACGACCTACAATGTTTGAGAGTTCAAATGGCTACTTCCCCTTGCCAAACAGTGTTTCTACTTTTATTTTAGCCCTTTTGGTGAGCAATTATTGACTTATTTTTAAGTGAAGCATAAACCTCTAGCAAATTCATACCAAACAAAGATACTTATTTAAGAGCCAGTGTATGTTGGGAGCAGAAAAGGACAGTGTCTCATAAAGCAGAATGCTTGGACATCAACCAATTCAAAGAAGAACTACAATTTGATGTAAGCAAAAATATGTCAGCACAGACAAGAGTTTTTGTTTCAAGTACTGCCTTATTTTCAAAGAAAGCATTTCATTTGGGAATGAAGCGACGTGCTGATTGGATTAGACATTTGTGGAATCTGAAAATCAGAGACTTGGGAGGGAGTGTGGGAACAGTAAAGACTTTAGTAACTATACCACTTAATGATTAAAATGTTCATAGAAGAACACAAGACAGAAGCTTATTTGTCTTCTTATTACTGTTGCAGGGTCTCCCTTTTGGTGCCTCCTGGACATTGTTCCTATAAAGAATGAGAAAGGCGATGTGGTGCTTTTTCTGGCCTCATTCAAAGATATAACAGATACGAAAGTGAAGATGACTCCAGAAGATAAAAGAGAAGGTTTGTACTGTTTTCAGAAAACATTGACAGATGGAGTAACATTTTGAAATTGTTTACTCAAAAGCTGGAAAGAAAAAAATTTGTCTTTTAATAACAGCAACTGATAAATATTCATATCTGTTTGCAGTCAATATTTAGTCCTTATTCCAGAATCATAACGACTCATATAAATTTACACTCCTGCCTCTGTAATAAAGCCTGATTTGACAGGAACTGGAAGTTCATATTTCTGTGAAAATAGGATAAGTATGGTAAAACAATCAATCATAAGCTAAAGATTTATACCTCCTTGTTTTATTATGGAAGTAAATTAATTGATATCAATATATGAAATTAAAATGATATGATTAAAATTTCATCTAAAGTGCAGTAGCTTGAAACTTAGTGAGCAAAATTTCTTTTTTTTTTGTACAAAAGAAGAACTCAAGGTTAATAGTTGTTTGAGTATAAAACTTCCAACAAATGTATATCGAAATTTCATAGTATAGGATGGTATCATAACTTGTTTTAAAATAGTAATTTTTTGGACCTTCAAAGGATTCTTTCTAGGATTTTACATTGCCTACCTGGTAGCTTATTAAGAAATTCCCTGCATTTCATCTCGGTTGACAAAAATTAACACTGAAAAGATGCTGATATTTCCTTTACATAGGGATTAGGATTAGGCATTTTGGGGATCAGAGAAAAGGCATTTGTCAGTGTAGAGATGTCCTGTCTTTAAATAACTTCTTTATTAGAAACAGCTCTTTAATATTTCAACAACTCTTCATATGATGGGCTTTTACAAATGCGTGCACGTGTGTGTGTGTGTGTGTGTTAAACATATGATGTCCCTTGATGTGAACACCAGTGGAAAATTATTAGTTTGTAGCTTCCACCTTTGACTGCTATCATTTGAAGTGTTTGCAAATACAAGATTGATTTCCTGTTTATTTGCATGACTAAATACGGTGGCATATTTTCCATACACAGGAGAAGAGTAGTCAATGATAGTTCCTTGGTTACCAGAGTAAGTCCACCAAGAGAACAGAAAAGTGGAGAAATCAGTGTGCAGTTTACTTCTTTTTACTTTGGTGTGTTCTTTGGTATGTTCTTTAGTATTACAGGAGTATAAAAGGTATAAGTAAGAACAACACTTCTGACATCAAGTGAGTGAGTTTATTTCATATCAACAATCAATTCTGTACCTCCCTGAACAGCAGCTGAGTAGCTAATAATATAATTCACTCTATCACGAACTACTGAGCTCACTTTAAAACTCCAAATTGTCCTCCCTTTGGACACCTGTCACAAGTATTGGGTGTCCAGGGACCCCTGCCCTTCTGTACAAGTTGACTACAAACCCTAAGTCCCCCCAATGCCTACACCTTTCCAAAACTTGTAATTTATTAGACTGACTCACAGAGCTCAGGGAAACATTTTGCTTAGACTGTCAGAGGATACCTCTCAGGGATCACCCAGCGCAAGAGATGCACAGACAAGGTGAAGAAGGAGGCACAGAGGTCTCATGCTTGCCCCTTCATGTGTTCAATTCATGTCCCTAAGCCCTGCTGTGCAGGAGTTTATACGGAGGGCCATTACATAGGCACTATTGATTAACTCATTTGTCATTAGTGATTGACATGACCGATAGCCCCGCCTCTCTCCTTGGAGAATTAAGGATTGGGACTCAGAGTTCCAATACAGTCTTGGCTTGTTTTTTCTGGTGACCACCCTCTACCTCCACATCATCTCATTAGCTTACAAAAGATACTACCCCCCCCCAAAGATTTCCAGCTTTGTGGAATCAAGGAAGCAAGGATAAAACCCAATAAATATTACCTATGATGCCAAAAGGAGGTTATTTGAATAAAATTATCATGCACTTATTAAATAAATATGGGTGTGTATAAACATTACATATATATTAATATATATATACACACACATACATATATATAGAGAGAGACAGACAGACAGACAGACAGACAAATATAAAACTACCCATAAAAGAAATATATTTTTTTTGGTCTCCAAAGAGGCAGTTTTAATCAACTTAATAACTTGTTTTGAACAGAAGGATCAAGTCTATTTAGATTTTTGTAATTTTTTCGTCATCTCTGGTTTTTGTCCCCCATCTCTTTAGCTAAGGAGAAAAGTCCAGCTTGGGAGACTGTAATGGCAAAAAGGAGCAAGGTGTATTCATTCAGCTGGAGTCTGATAACGCTGCATAGAAGCACTTTGGTTTTTCACCCAAGTTCTGCTCTAGCTGAGAAAGAAGAAGAGTAAAGCAGATAGAACAGCAGCGTGTTCCCTTTCATTTTGATAAAGCTAATAACTCCTAGTGAGTTCTTGTTAAGCAAGTATTCCTCAGTCAAAACAGAACTGTCTTGGGCCTCCCTGGTGGCCTAGGAGTTAAGTCTCAGTGCTACCGCTGTGAAGACCACCGTAGCGCCCTGAGTTCAATCCCCAGGCAGGAAGCTGACCCACATGGCGCAGCAGACCCCTTCTATTTTGCCACTGCTGCTCCCCTCAGCAGTGTATTTCAGTCAGTCCACCTGTTTTGCTCCCCACTCTGTCTCTAGTGAACCACATCTCCTCCAGCCCCCGCACCTTTGGCCTGCACCCAAGTTCTTCTATGCAAACATAAATAAATATTTTCTTTAAAAAAAAAAAAAACTGTCTCTGCTAGAGCAGAAGCAAAACTCCCCAAGATACAATGTAAAACCAGACAAGACTAGGTGCTGTCCAAAGACTCTTTTCTTTTGAAAGAGACAGAGGAAGAGGCCACCCTCTACAGTCCTATCTCCTTCCCAACACAGCCAGACAATGACCTATGTATTTGCAATATAGTACCTTTAGTGTATGGGGTAGAGATAAGTTCTCCCCACACCAGTGTAAAAGAAAGAGCAAAGTCCATGAGAATTGGAGAAATGGGAAGGAAAAGGTCACAAGGGAAATAATATGGAAGCAACTCTGGAAAGATGAGTAAAACTTGATAAACTGAAAGGAAGGGATGTTCATTTGGAAGCTATTTGTAGTAACAAATAGCTGACTGGTTCAGAAGTAGATTCTAAGAGTCTAAATTCAACTCTACATAAGCAGACAGGGCTTACATCCTAAAGAATTTGTGATGTCTTTCTAGGGAATTGAGATAGTATGGAGATATGGTTTACTGTTAGAGCAGTGGGAAATAAAGAAAAAGAGGAACTTGGTGAATTTCAAGTTTCCGGTGTGGGGGCTGTTAGCATTGAACTGTGTACCCTCAAAACTCATGTAGCCCTCACTCCAGTAGCTCAGAATGTGACTGAATTTAGGCTTTAAAGTAAAAATTAAGGTAAAATTAGTCCATTAGGGGAGACCTCCATCCTATCTGACTGGTGCCCCTATAGGTCAAGGAGACACAGAGACACCAGGGCTGAAAAAAGACCCAACTGAGACTCAGCAAGATGGCATCACTTCCTCTTTTAACCCTAGATAGAAGTGCTCTGAGCTCCTGGATATGGAGATTAAGTTCAAATTACTTACGAATCGGCTCACAAAGCCCCTCACCAGCTCTCCAGCTATGAGTCCACTTTCAATCTTCTCGAAGTCTTTGGACAGGCCAAGCTGGTCTGTTCACACTTAACTAATGCAACTCACTTATTTACTTTTCTTACCACCCAGTTCCTCAAATTTTCCATCATTTGGAGTTTCTTTGTCACTCCTATTCACCTTGAAAATCCCACCTTCTTTTTTCAGTTTACCTGAACAAACTCAGGTCATCCTGATGTCCTCCCCTTACACCTCTCTATGTCTCTCTTCCTCTTCTGACCTGCCGAGTACTCACCTACCCAACTTCCCTTACCTTGTCTTTCCCAAACCATGAGGAGCATTGAAGTTGGCATAAAACTGCAAATGTCTGAATTTTTGCAGGGCTTTGCATGAGTGCATACCTCTTATTGATTAATTGTATTAAATGGCCTTCATCTACATAGAAGAGTTTGGGTCTTTTAAGAGTCCCTTTCCTCTGTATTCAGTTTCCTGCATCTCAGTTTTCCAAACTTCTCATAGCATTTCATTCATTATGCTAAATTGGTTTTCCTTTCAGACCAGTTGAGTACAATAATATGTGCCTTGTTTTTCCAGGCACAGGGCCCAGTGCAGTTATTTTTGTTTATTTCTGGTAGGGTGTCCCAGATTTGGTTTGAAGTGATGGTTGACAGTGGGCTATTCATTATGTGGGAACAGCATCATCAGTTATCCCAGACGGAGAATTTCAATTACAGTTTCTCCAATGTGGGCACTTCAAATTTGTCTTGAGAAGGTAGGGCTTGATGTGTGAAACTTTTCATATTTTATTCAGGTGGAAGCACAAATCAGAACTCATATGCAGTAGCATCAGTTTATAGAATCTCACCGCTGGCAGGTAGCAGCAGGTTGACATTATTAAGTACTCTGACAAAAGTTTTATATCACATCTCCCTTTTTTTCTTATTAAGTAGCTTCAGAAGAAATAATAATAATGAATAGCTGTGTTCAACCATCAGATAGGAATTGCACTTAGTTTCAAGTAGCTGAAAACTTAACTAAGATAAGCTTAGATGGCTGAGTTTATTTTTGTCATGTTTCAAAGAGTCTGCAACTGAGCTTCCATGTTGTAATAACAACGCCGAGATGATGAAGGTTTCTGGGCTCCTTTTCCCTTTCTGCTCTGCTGTTCCTTGGCCGCTTTTGTCACCTCAGACTTGGTGGTGGCTGAAGATGCCTACTGTGCCTTTAGAACTTCTTTCCGTTGAATATACAGAGAGAACAGGAAAGCGCAAAGGGCAAGAGTTTTACCCATCAGATTTGCTTTGGGTACAGGAACAAATGTCCCTCCTTTTGCCGCTCCTTTCTACCAGGGGTTTCTACCCACACATCATTGAGCATAACTCAATCACTTGGCTTGGCCATCTCTAAAGGCAAGCAAATCTAGAAAATCATCTTTAGGGCTTTATTTTTAAAAGTGCTCACATTTTTATAGTAGAAAGAGTGTCTTT